CTTTATTTCGCTCACTGGGGTAGACCACGTGCCATGTTTAATGGATGTCAGTTATCAGTTATTCACTGTTGATTTCCCCTTGAAAGTTCTCCACTGACTTAACCTTTAAGTCCTGTCACTGGATCTAACCAACGCTTTTATCCACTGTGCCATGTGTCCTTGATCACTTCTCTGCATATATTTCTAAACCTAATGTCTCAGCAACAATTTTTACCAGTTCCCATATTACAATTTTCGCTGTTCTCATTGCATGTTTTTTCCAGAGCTCATATTGCAACTTTTTTTGTTATTATCGCTTTTCTCTGGCACTCCTTAATACTGGTTCCCCTGTTGTATTCATTTCTATGCTTGGTCGGATCAGGAGATTTTTGTCGCCTAGCGTATGTGCTGATTCCTTAAGTTTACAAATTTCCCAGTGGTGTTTTGTGTCTATGATCTCAACTTGATCCCTCAGAGGGCGGTGATCTCCCTTCTCTCTCCATATGTGGTCAGCCACGCCTGACTTTTCCACTTCCCTCGTGTTACAGCTTTCTGATGTTCTTGAAGCTTTACCTTAAGGGGGCGGCCTGTTCCCGTTTATATTTCTTTCTCTTTATCAATGTTATAATTCTATGAACTTTCCTATGTATTATTCAAGAATTCCCTTTAATCTTCACTCGATGATGTATTTTTTTAGAAGAGATTCATTATTTTTAGAATTTTCCTGTAATAACTTTAGATTTATATTTGAAAATATTGCTTTGTTTCTAAAATATACTTGCTTCTTGTATATTTGTTTTGCACTTTTAGCCAGATAAGGTAATTTAATATCTATCTTATAGTTTAATGCTATTTCCAGCTATTCTGTTATATTAACGCTTTAATTTTAATAATCTACTGTATTTACATATATTTCTTTGGATATTTCTTCTCAAATGAGAATTTTCTTCTGTAGAATTTCAATAACATTCAGTATTTTACTTTGGTACACTTATTTTCGATTTATCTAAGATATTTTCCTGAATTTATTATTGAAGCTATACTCTTACTAGAGAGAATATTAGCTAATTTAGTGTGGTTATATTCAGATTAATTTTGTTTATTTTTTGAATGACTGCTTTGTTTGCAATTTTAATAATGTTTTCCGTTTTTATCATATTTGGTTTTTGTCCAATATTTTCCACGTTCCTTTCATTTCAACGTGTTGTGTTTTTTTTTATTAATTTTGTTAAAATTCTTTTCTGAAATTTCCCTTTGGTTTCTTTCATATCTTAATTGATTTTCCTACATTTAATTTTCGTTTTCGCAATTTCTAAATACATTTTTATTTTTTTGGAACATTCATTTTTATTATTATATCGACCTGTGATTTATTAATCTTTAAATCTGTATTCTGTTCTGTTTTGATATTTTTTCGGTCAACAAGTTCGACAATTTTCATTTTCTTTTTCCTTAATGATGTTTTGTTTGATATTTGCTAGTATATTAATATCTGTTTTCTCAATTAATTGTTTCTTCATATTTTCGTTTTCACATCTTCTTCTTCTTCTTCTTCTTATTATTATTATTATTATTATTATTATTATTAATAATAATAATAATAATTTGAATTTTTCAGGTTACTGCTGCTACTTAGACGTCTCCTATTCCTGGAAAGTTATTGTCAAATCACAACCTGAGCGTATGACAGAGATTTTTTCGAAGTAAACTTGCTGTACCGAAAAGAAGATTTTTTAAAAATTTTCTCAAGGGCTATTTTCATAAACATTGCTTTTAAAAATTCAATGACATGGGGGCGAGATACCCAATCACTACTGGAATAGGCTGAAAAGTTTCCACCATTTGTCCATCTTCACGTTCAGTTTCGAGTCTTTTCTGATCATTTTTATTTGATTTACTGGTATATTGTAGTAAACAGTTATGGCGACATAAATTATTTAGCATTCATTTTCTCCCGGGTTGATAACGACTTTGTCTGATCTAACGTGTTCAATAATTCGGACTAACTGAAAATTATAGTGCCAGATTAGATTTGACTTGTCTTCTGACTCCATCGATTTCAAATGTACGTGATTGTACAATTGTTCTTGTTGTTATTATTATTATTAATAATAATAATTTTTATCATTTTCGTTGTACAGTCATTTCCGTCCGGGTCTGAATCAGAAACCTTAGGTCAGAAATTACATCCTGATATTTTCAACTGAACATTTGTACAACACATTTAAAACATGAAATACATCATCGTAAGAATACACATATTTTACATAGATAGAGCCCATCGTAAATTGTGAGCTGTGATTGTGGGAGCAATTTTTGTTCTTGAAGTTTTTTGCTGACAGGGATCCCTTCCATGAATAGATCACAATGTTTTCAAATCAAGGTTTGTGCCCCATTCACAACTGGAATTATGTGCCAGATATTTAATCTTTCCATTTCAAGATCCTTGTATTTTGATATTTTTGAAGAGTTTCAAACATACATTATAGTCCAAACTTTTACTATTCCCCTTCATCTCCGCTGATATCGCCATTCTCGCCAATAAATTGTCGCACTTACACGATGTTTCCCTTTGTTCGTCCTTCTTCCAATACGATACTCTGTTTGTTAAATTATACAGGTTTGATTTATTGATAATATATCCCAATAATATCACCTGTATCTTATTGATTCTTACTGGCCTCGATATATAGAATACGATTATTGCGCCTCTTAAGATGAGTAAGCAATCCCATGAGTTTCCTGGGTATAACAATAAAATACATCCAGCAGGAAGAATGACTCTATTCGAGAGAGTACTATTTTCTGAAGCGTAGAATTACCACTTAATTACAGTTGTTCACAGGTCCACGTTGAACCTGAGTAATAGCACTTGTTAGAATCCCAGCTTTGGACAAATAACGACACACTAGAATATAATAAACCTACCAGCAGTAAATGTTTTAGAAAAACAATATATTTTGCAGTGAAATTATCGCCCATATATTTCATTGAAAATTATCAACAGTAGATCGTATAATGAAATGACCAACAATGCATTTTAACGTGAAATAGAGCAACGATACATTTTATCTTAAAATTACTAACAAGAACTTTTGTAGTAAAATTACCAGAAATACATTTTATAGTAAATTCGTCAACAATATATGTTATAATTATATCGCCAACAATATATATTTTTAGCAAAATAACCAACAATTTTGAGCAAAATTCCTAACAATAAAATGACCAATAATATAGCAATGTGATAATCAATAAATTTTACAGTAAAATTAAATATATGTCGTATATTATTTAAAAAATAAAAATAAACAATTTGCTATGATTACTTTCATTTCTTTTAAGAAGGAACAAGTTTTAACTCCTCGTTTGATTTGGTAAAATTTTAAAATAAAAAATCGACTAGGTAACTACAATTTAATCACGAAATAATGTCATTCACTTGAATTAATTATAGTTTACATTTTCGCGTGTAGATTTTGGCATTAAATTAACAATACGTGTTGATATGTCGCTAAACACCACCAAACACAAGCTATTACTGATTTTAGTAGCAGCACTTTCTAGTTCCTATTTTCTTTAAATCATCGTTGCTTTGTTCACTTAATTTTATTCTAAACATCCGTGTATAGACCCATATCACTCTCGTTTTGAGTGTGGTTTTTTAAAGAGAAAATTCTCATACATTCACTGCTCTATAAGAGGATACTTATAAAATTGTTCCTCAACACTCGTTTATTTATTTCCAAAAGTCGTTAATATATAAAAAACAACGTCATTAAAATTAAATTAAAAAAGAACATGTTTATTACATGTAAGTTTAAATAAAGACAACATACAAAATCAAATATCTAATTATATGGATTTAAACATCAATCAACATTTCCATATTTTTAATAATGAAACACTAGAGAATTAATTTAATGTCATTTAACATTATTAAATTTATTTAATTTTGAACGAACATCTCAAGGAAAAAGGGTTGGAAAGTTCGTAGGTTGATTCAAACAACATCCCCTTTTCAAATCTATTTGCTTCGAGCTTAACACCAGCGTGAATCTTCCTTTTTCCTGTTTTTACTGCAGTGTTGTTCATCTGTTCTTTATATTTTTTTATGCCGCTGCGCTTTTATATACACGCGTCTACACGCGTACGATTGACTGAAGGTTATGAAAGAATTAATTAATTAAGTAAATTTCTTTAAAGTTGTTCAAATTAGCTAAACAAGATTGATCAATGAATTCCTTTATAATTTCCTTCACACAAAATTGCTAATAATTCTTTGAAGGCAGCCTAAAAAGATCTGGATAAAATTACCTCGTCTTTGTTCGACATTTGTTTATAATATTATTAAACATGGTTCATTAAGTTTTCTTCGTACTCAAGTGATCAACCGAACATAGTTTGAAGTCGATATTTATTAATTGAAGTTCAATATCACATACATTTAAATCTAGATCGGCTGCCTCGTGGCTGAAGTAGTCCCGTACTTAAATCTACCACAAATGATTACTGTTCGACAGAATGTATAATGCAAATAATGTTGAGTTTATATGTAGTGGTCTAAAGACATGTATTTATTCATAAATACCTACAAAATATCCTTCTAGATGCTTTTACTTTTAAAATGAGTTCCATGTATTTTTTTTCATTATTTAAGATTGACCACAGATTCTCAGATGAAGAAATATTGTTTGAAGTATTTATCGTATTCCATTTGTAATGAAGTTACACTGATATATTTTATTCTGTAGAGCAGCTAGTTTCTAGCATGGACTCACAAGAAAACGTTTCCTGATCGCTATAACGGTAACATCTTCAATCCTGCTGTGAACCGTTATCTATCCTATCTATCCATCCTACATATCTTCCTAACGTCTGCATCTTTCTTACGCTCTTTACGTTCTTATTACCATCCTATTCAGTTACACTCTACATTGGATGGCTATCGAGCCTTTTATTGAATGAACAGTTTCTATTTTTATACCGGTCATTTTTATGTTCTTATCTCTATTTTGAAGATCTATCTATCTATCTATCTATCTATCTATCTATCTATCTATCTATCTATCTATCTATCTATCACTGGGGTTCTCACACACACACACACACACATATATATATATATATATATATATATATATATATGTGTGTGTGTGTGTGTGTGTGTGTGTGTGGTGTGTGTGTGTGTGTGTGTGTGTGTGGGTCTGCATTAAATAAGCGTGTGGATTAAATCCCCCACACATAATAGTTTCTATTCTATATCTCTTTAGTACGATGGGAACCACGGCTGCCTAAGTACTGGCGGTGAATTTATAAATTAAACAATGTCCCGGAAATTCTTCGTTTGTTGTTTATCATTGGTTGTCTTTTTTATTATGACTGGTGACTCTTTATTTGGGGCATGGTCTCTGTCTCTTTGTTTGTGACATGTTTGGTGTCCCTTTATTTATGACATGATCGATGTCTCACTATTTGTGACATGGTTGGTGTCTCTTTGTGACAAGTTTGGTGACCCTTTACGTGTGACATGCTCGGCGTCTCTTTGTTTGTGACATTGTCGGTGTCACTTTATTTGTAACATCGTCGGTTTCTCTTTATTTGTGATATATCTGGCGTCCCTTTATTTGTGACATGATCGGTGTCTCACTATTTGTGACATGGGTGGTGCCTCTTTGGGAGAAGATCGGTGACCCTTTATTTTTGACATGGTCGATGTCTCTTTGTTTGTGACATGTTCCTTGTCTCACTATTTATGACATGCTCGGTATCTATATGTGACATGGTCGGTGTCTCTTTGTTTGTGACATGTTCCTTGTCTCACTATTTGTGACATGCTCGGTATCTATATGTGACATGGTCGGTGTTTTTTTTTATTTGTCACATGTTTGTTGTCTTTTTGTGGCAAGGTCATTGTCCCTTTATTTGTGACATGGTCGGTCTCTCGTTATATGTGACATGTTTGGTGTCTTTTTGTTTGTGATATGGTCGGTGTCTCTTTATTTTTGACATGACTGGTGTCTATTTCTTTTTGATAATGTCGATGTCTACTTACATTTAACACAGTTGGTGTAACATCGTTGGTGTATATATCTTTTATATTTTTCTTGCTTTCTGTTATCACTGAAATAACATTACGACATGTAGAAGACAGTGAAGTAGATTCTCGTTGCATTCTTAACGGTTAGGATTTCAATATGCGTTTTTGTTTTTTCATTCTTTCGTTTGATCAACTGTTGAGAGATCATATGACCCATCTACTTAACCTATAGTTGCGGCATACAGAATATAAGGATTCATGGCTTTCGCACTAAGCACACACTTATATTACGCCAACCTAAACAATTCTTTTGTTATTTTTTATCTCCTGTGTCAAGATGTTTAGAAATATCCTTTTAAGAACAAATGTGATTGCGGAGTTCGATTCATGTGATTTCTATATTTTGAGCTTTTATCAAAAATTAACACAATACTGTATTTCCTGATATTTGTATTGATCTCTATCCTTTTTCTTCAAATGAAAGTTTCAGATGTTTTCTATGATTTAGCACAAAACTTTTAACTTTGAAAATGGTAGATTGACAAGAATAAAATGGCCGTCCAGAAATATTAACAGGCATTTTCAGTAAAAGTGCATCTCGTTTAATGATTTGCGACAAGGAAAGATAAATAAGCGAGCATTGTTCGAATTAGATTCAATTTTATTTATGTTAATTCTATTAGTAAGATTAGCCGTTTCCTTCTAAAAAATATATTCGGAATTCATTGACCTGTCAGCCATCTCTTATTTAGGGTAAAAAAAATCAAAATCTTTCTAAACATGTCTTCAGAAAAATAGGTTTCTCATGTCCGGTATGTGTTATCGGCCTTTTCATTGTTGATGGAGGTTTCTCTCCAAAAGCCTTGTTTGAAATGACGTCTATATTTTCTGCCATGATCTTCTCTTTCAGTTACATGCAATATCCATTTTTCTTCTGCTGCTGTTTAATGTTCACATGTGAGGACTTTTTTTTAGAGTTATTTGTTTTTGATTCTGTAGCGCCAATCCAGAAAATTCAAAGAAGGATGGTCCTCAACAAGACTCATATTTAAATACCATTTTTAAACAGTTATCTGAGAAAGTAGATAATTCAGTTTTTATGGAAAAGGTTTGGCACCATTCATAACATCCATATGAATGTTTTAATGTGACGAGGTTATTTAAGAACCTTCCTCTAGATTTCAGGATAATGTTGTCTTGTGGAGAAATTCATGGTGCTTCGCGAAACTACCTCGTGTTCAGACTGTTATAACTTAAATTTGTCAATCTTCTTTTGGGATAAGCGACCGATATCAAATGTTTAATATTTAATATTTCCATAATCTAAAATTTAGATAATGGATTCAGGTTAATTGACAATACGGCTATTATTTCAAATCCTGATTATAGTTTCTCTTTTGGAAAGGTTTAACTTGAGTTTTATTTCATGAAACATTTGGAAGTGATTCTTTAATAGCTGCTCAATATCCTTCTTATTCCAAATATAAATATATATTTCACTAGAATTACATTCAATATGACACCAGAATCATTGTTTTCTATTATGAGATTGGGGATGTCTAATTGATCAGTGCCTATCTCTTCACATGTGTGTCATTAAATTCTTAGCATATAGTCTAGACTGTGATAATAAGCTGAAGATTTCGTTCCCTATTTGTCCTTGGGATCGTAGTGTTTCCTATAAGGGATCCTCGTCTTTAAGGTAAGATTTTTTTAGTCCGATAACATTCTTCTATTAGATGATGCATTCAGTGAATTCGGAGCTTGGAAGGCAGTTTCTAGTGGATGAAAAATAAGGTAAACTGTCCCCAGTTGCATTCCCAATACGTCAAAGCATGCATTCAATCTGGGTTTTGTTTAAATTAGCACGGGTTAAGATTTGACTTGGTTTATTTGATTTTACGGCATATCATGGAGTATTGCTGCTATATATGGTCTGAAACCCCTTCTGTTTGCCTCTGGGTTCTTGTTATGATCCAGAGTGAGATATGCAATGTAATTGGCCCTGATCTGGCATCTCAACTACATTCGCTCTCTCATAGACGTGGCATCGCCTCTCTCTGTCTTTTTTTTTTCAAATACTTTCATGATAATTACTCCGATGAGCTGCTTTCGCTGGTTCCCAGACTTCATGAATTCAAGCGCCCTACGAGTCTGGTATGCTGCTCTCAACTTTTCAGTGTTGAAACTGTTAAATGTGGCCGACTCTTCTACTCCAATATGTAATATCTCGCACCTATCGCCTGTGGAACTCACTTCCCTTTTCCTGTTTCCCTGATAGTTATAATCTCCAACTATGCAAATGTAATGTCAATCGACATCTCCAGTTGCCTTGATCTATCCACTATCCTTCTTCTCATCCTTTCCTCTATCACTCCTATCTGCTTCCGCTCCAAATCCTCTGTAACCCCCTGCATCCTAGTGGCTTCACGCCTTGCTCGTGGCGTAATGCTTAAAAAATATATCAGACTCTATGGGTTATTTAATACCGACAAGATTCTACAAGAGGTTCGCATGAATAAAACACGTATTCTTTGTGAAAAATCAGTTTGTGGATCAGGTTTCATTGACATATATTTGTAAGGAAGGTTTTTGTCAAGAACCAAATATATTACTGGGAATATTTTTTTCTCAAAAATGTATTGCTGGTAATATTTAAAAAAAATAATATATTGCTGGTAATTTGACTATAAAAATCTATTTTAAATCTTTCAGAGTATTTTGACTCCGCTTTAGGTATTAAATATTTGTCCATAGCTGGGAAACATAAAATTATAAATAAAGACCAAAAAAAATCAATGATAATAGCAAGTTAATTATGTTAATGAGATTCTAATAATGTTCCCCTAAAGCGCTGAAAATGAAAATAAACTTTTGCTATATCAAATACTGAGTGCGATGAATAAATTGTCGTCAAGATAAAGCTAAAAGGTAAGTAACGCCTACGTCTCATTTTAACAGCAATATTTACCGAAATTACAAAAATTAAATTTGAAATACTAAAGAGTAGCTGTGTGAAGAGGTGTATCCATGCCTTTCCTATGAATTTATTCAGTAAAATAGCCATTGGCTTCCAGCACGGCTTGAAGGTGACTTTGGAATCTCCTGCAAAACTTCGGGACGGTCTCCTTGATTAATCAGGTTAATGCTGCCATAATGTTTGCCTTCAGTTCATCTTTGGTATTACGTGAAACTTATTTTTTTGGTCTCTCGCTCAACTGCTCCCCACGCATAATAATCAAGGTGGTTGCATTCTTTGGAGTTATGTGACTAGATGTAAAGGGTGATATGGTCGCAAAAATTGTCTGAGAGCCATGACTGCATTCTCCTGTTTTTTGTGTCTTCGTTCTGTTGTCAGACATAAGTACTTTTAGCACCCACCCTCTTAACCTAGGGCAGCAATACCTACACGATATTTTATGTAGGCCTCTCTGTTGTGGGAAGATGAATGTAGGCATAACGTCATCACTACTGATAACTGCAAAACAGCTTCGTATTCACCATTAGACTCATACATCTCTTTCCGAATTCGCTGCCCTTTCCTCACACTCTGAAATGTTCGTACTGGAGTTTTCCGCCCGAATGTCCAGCCGTAAAGTATGCCGTTTTTAAATTTCTGGTAGAGTGAATTGCGTTATGGTGTATGTTTTCAATTGACAGTACTCTATGTGCAGTCGAAAAAATAAAAATAACGCGCATGCGCGAAATTGAAAATATAAATTGCAACAATTCACTGATCTTTCCTTGTATAAAAGATGGGATTGTAATTGGTCTTGACGATTAGGAAAATAAAACAGAAGTGAGGGTGTGTAGTTTGCATAAAAATTATCGGCGTTTAACAGTTTCCACAGTGAAAGGGTGTGAGCGAGAGGCCAGCCTAGTAGAACGCTTAAATTCATGAAGTCTGGGAACCAGCGAAAGCAGCTCTTCGGAGCAGTTACCATGAAAGTATTTGTAAAAAAAGACAGAGGGTGGCGACAGCACGTCTGTGAGAGAGCGACTCTAGACGAGATGCCAGATCAGGGCCAATTACATTGCATATCCGTCTCTGGATTTATCAAGAACCTTGAGACAAACAGAAGGGGCTCCAGACGATATATAGCAGCAATACTCCATGCAAGAGCGAATGGTTGATTCGTATATCTGAAGGATTGATTCCGGCGAGTAAAGTTTCCTGGCGCGGCACAGGGACACAACATCCCTTGCGGTGAATGAAGCTATTGACTCAAAATATACCGCCAGTTTCCATTAGAATAGTTTGATTTCTTAAGGAAGGATCTTACAATAAACCAGAACTTAATGATGGGGAGGGAAACACCTGCATATAAAATTAATTGAGTTAGAAAACAAGAAAAACAATGAGGCTTCAAAGAGTATTTATTCAGTATTTACAGTAAAATGACACTAAGAGAAACACAAGTCCTTCCAGGATAGATTTTCCAGGGAATTGATCTGCAGATAGCCGACGCAGAAGGCGAGAACTATCAGTTTATAAAGTGAAAAAGAAATGGATAAAATAAATATCAATTGCAAGAATTTATTGTCGGGAGAAAAATCATTGGCACAAGACATGATCTATAAATTTAAGAAGTCAAATATAGAATTCTGAATATATGGGGGTTTATAGCAGATAAATGGGAACTATTCTTTATCAAATAAAGCAGCTGCTATAGAAATATAAATCCTCATATATAGCACTGACGGGTATGACGATAAAATATATCCGACAACAAGGCGACTGATAAGGATATTTGGAGGAGAGTCTAACGAAATTGTAATTGCTGTTGTTCCGAGCTCCACCCTGATGCAGTTTGTAGCGCCATTTATTTTTCAGCTATGAGTAAATAGTTAACCTCCAAACGCGTCAAAACACTATTAATGTATAAAAGAAATTATAGTAAGAAATTACCAGCAATACATTTTTGTCAAAAACATTTTTTTCCAGCAATATATTTTTGTAAAAGAAATTATTAATGCTCCCACGAAAATAAAATGTCAGCATTAAATGACCTATAAACAGGTGATACGCCGTTAAAAAAAAAAAAAAAAAAACAGTATAACGGAATTTTGGATACTTTCATCACAAAGTTTCAGACTTGAGTTAAGGAAAATGGGGTTTTACAGAACGATGGTGGAAATAAAATAGACGGGTAAATAAATAAAAATAATTACAGTAACAATCAGAAAGGGAGAGGTGAGATGACCGAGATATATTAGGAAAGAAGGCTTTGG